CCCCGTCGCTGCCGCCTCATCCGCGGGCCGAAGTCTTGCACGTCAACGTCGATTCGTTCGACAAAAACCCCGAGGCAAGATCCCGATTTTTGATTATTTATTCATTACAATTCTTAGATTTGTCATGAATTAAGTATGTGCAAAATTCCATTTTTAATTGTTATTCCTTTCAATAGTTAGATTTGTTATGAATTATCTGTATATATTAAATTGTGATGTAATTATCTGTGTGGGTTGGTTTGATGAATAACATTAAATAAATCATAACAATATGATAAATAGTATTTTAGAGAATTTATAATAAATTAAAAGAATTTATTTTAACAAAAGAATCAATTTAGGATAATTATAATATTTTTTAAAAGAATTTATTTTGAGAAAAAGAATCATTTTAGAATAATAAATATTTTAAAAGAATTTATTTGAAAATGAAATTAGTTTTGAATGATTATAACAAGGAATAAATAATTTATCTTGAAAAAGGAATTATTTAAAGTTATTATAATAATATATATTCTAAAAGAATTTATTTTTAGAAAAGGAATTATTTTAGATTAGTTATAATGAGAAATGATTTAAAATAAATTATTTTGGAAAAGTTTATTTTCTAAATTATATAGATGTTGTTTATGATTCTTAGATTTAATGATTTGACATGCCATGATATCATTGCATGTGATTGGCTGAATTTATTTACTATTTTCTTATTGTGATTGAGAACCATTAGTAGTTCATTTTTAGTGGCTTTGCGCGTCATGAACAAGATTTAGTGACATGTGTGTGTGCGTTGACTAAACTTAGGAGGTGCACTAGAGATCTATTGTAGGTCATGTTTATTGACTTAGAAAAATAAGAAGAGTTGGGATGGGAAAGTCATAGTTCATGTGATCGGATGTGGTTGTTGATGTATCTTCCAGACTCGCACCAGTGACATGTTTCGTCCTGGAGTTGGTTTGTTAGGCCAAGTGGCCTGTTTTGTCACTTTGGTCAGTGACCTGTTTCGTCACCCGAGTTTTGCTTGAGTTCGGACCAGGCCAAAATCGGATTGCGTATAGTCTTCTAACCGCCTGTTTCGCGAGATTAGATACACATAGAGGATTTGTGAACAGCCAGTTATCCGATGATATGAACGTTGACTCAATGTGAGATGTGGACCAGTGAGCTATTATAGGATGACTAGTTGTATGACCTTGATACTTGGATGATTATGGATTCTTCTAATTGTTATACTCTAGTGATGGATTGCATTTAGCTTATTAGTATTCCAGCTGCATGTTTTTATTCATTATTATTGTTTTTTCTTTTGGTCATTCAACCATTTCTCTTCTCTCTTGTGGGGTCTTGCCGTGTACCATGCACGCTGACGTACTCTTGTCCTCTCGGGTTGTACGTCAGATTTAGAGGATGGACAGGTCTAGTATGATGATGCTTTGGAGCCAGAGTATTCCCAACCGGAGTGTCTTCTAGATGGAACAAAAGAACAAACTGGAGCTTAGTCATTTTCTTTTCTGTAGTCGTTGATGGACACTAGATTACTTTGTAGTATTTTCTCTTTTAGTCTTTCGAGGGATTTATTTTATTTTTACAGTACTTCCTTTCTATTTCTATTAGATTATGTATTTTCATATTTTTTTAGTTGGATTGTTTTGTAATAAGGGCGTGTTTGACCCGGATTTTTGTGTCTTGGATGATATTTTATTTGTGACATGAATCATTTCTATTCTGAGTTATTTATTATATTCTTGCTAATTGTGATTGGGGACCTTTGACTTTGCAATTTATTTTGACGCTTAGCGTATTAGCTTGAGTAGAAAGAGTTTAGTATTTATTTCTCCTCAATCTAAAACGTCGCGGGCTTGTTCACGTTATGATTCCCCGGTATTTTGGGAATTGGGGCGTGACATGCTAGTTTGATTGCACATCAAAGTGATGTTATGAAACAATTTCTCCTAATTCTCAAGCATGAATCTATGTTTCTCTAGCAAAAAGCTACAGTGAATTGGCTAAATCTTAGTGATAGCAATTCTGCATTCTTCCATGCCTCTATCAAACAAAAAAGAATGAGGAATTCTATTATATCTATTTCTAGCTCTCTTGGGGTCTAGCTTACAAAGCAGGAGGATTTTCAGGAAGAATTGGTGAGTTTCTATGGTAATATTCTGGGTATGGATACCCCTTACCAATCTCCTCTCATGTTAATATTGTCAAGAGGCCCTCTCATCAATGGTGGCCAATGCATTAAGCTTTGTAGGCCAGTTTCTGCAACTGAAATCAAAGTTGTTGTGTTTCAAATCAATGTGAAAAAAAGTCCAAAACCTGATGGATTCACTTCCAAATTCTATAAGGACTCTTGGGATATAGTTGGAGCTAATCTTGTCTATGTAATTGGTGACTTCTTTAGGTACGACAAAATGCTTAAATCTCTAAACCCTGCATCTGTTACTCTTGTCCCTAGATCTCATTGTCCCAATAATGCATCTGATTATAGACCTATTGCATGTTGCAACATTCTGTATAAATGTATTTCAAATGTGCTAACTAATAAGCTCAAAAGAGTGATGTCCTATCTTGTGAGTGAAAATCAGGGGGCCTTTATTAAAGGCGGAAGCATTGTTCATAATATTCTGATGGCCCAGGAATTGGTTCACATATATGGGAGAAAGAACATTTCTCCTAGATGTACCTTAAATTGATTTGAGAAAAGCGTATGACTCTATCAATTGGCAATTTCTTGCTAATGTGCTTAAGGGTCTAAAATTTCCTCTTAAATTCATCAATTGGATCATGGAGTGTGTGAAAACTGCATCTTACATAATCTTGGTAAATGGTCAACCCAATAAACTATTCTAGGGGGGAAAGGGCATAAGATTGGGGGATCCTATCTGCCCCTACCTTTTTGTCTTGGTGATGGAGTATCTTAGTAGGAGCTTATCTGACTTGGGGGAAGTGAGAGATTTTCATTTTTATCCTAAATGTAGAAAAAAATAAGATCTCTCGTCTTTGCTTTGCTGATGACATGATGCTATTCTGTAAATGGGATATAAGCTCTATTGAGCAACTTTCTTTGAGACTCTCTCACTTCTCTCAAGTCTCTGGGCTCTATGCAAACTTGTCTAAGAGTCAATTGTTTTTTGGAGGGGTATCCAGTATTAACACAGAAATCTGATCTTACAACACTTGGGCTTTGTTGAAGGGGTTCTCCCTATAAAATACTTGGGCATTCCTCTTTCATCCAAAGGTCCCTCCTCTACTGATTGTGCTTTGCTGATTGAGAGAATTCTCTCTAAAGCTAAAATCTGGACAGCCAAATTCTTATCTTATGCTGGCAGATTTCAACATATAAAATCTATCATTTATAGTATGCATGATTATTGGGGGAGTATATTCCTTTTGCCTAAGGGGTTTATACATGCAGTGGAACAACTATGCAGGGATTACATATAGATTGGGTCTTATGGTCAACACATCAAAGAAAAAGTGGCATGGACTCAGGTATGCAAACCTGAAACTCGTGGGGGACTTGGTCTTCAGCATTTATCTTTTTTGAATAAATGTTTAGTTATGAATCACCTCTGGTCTCTGATTCTCAAAAAATGACTCTCTCTGGGTAAGATGGGTGCATGTTTACTATATCAGAGAGAGTTCTTTGTGGGATATTATTGATATAAAACCTCATTTTCTTAGGTTTTTAAGAGAATTCTTAAGCTGAGGCTGGAAGCTTTGTTATGTATATCTTTTAGCAGTGGTTATTTGAATTGGACTGGGCCTAAACCTGAGTTTAGCTCCTCTGCAACTTATCAAGTAATCCTAGGTGAAATTGTGAAAAAATAGTGGGCTCATGTTATGTGGACTAGATACTCTATTCCTAAACATATTTTTGCAACTTGGCTGGTCTGTCATGATATATTGCCTACAAAAATCAGGCTGCAACATATTATGGTGTTGGAGAATAACACATGTGCTCTATGTGGTGTGATGATTAAGAACAGAGACCATTTATTCTTCCAGTGTAGCTTCAGCCTACAACTGTAGGGGCTGGTGATGGGTTTTGTACAGGAAACTTACCCTCCCTATAGGTGGCAAGACATCCTACCTTGGGCGGTCTCAACTTGAGAGGGGAGCAACTGCATCAGGGGAATCAAGAGGGCTATGGTTGCTGCATGTGTATATCACATTTGGAATGCTAGAAATATGTTGATTTTCCTGTTAGGTGGGAAAATTGAAAGAAGAAAATAGAGA